CTGTAGTGCATGCCACACATCTGAGGACTTCTGCAAGGGACCTGGGGAACATGGTCAAGGCCATCTGTAGATACAGGCTGGAAATTCATGCATAATGAAGCATGGCCACATACCCTTAGGATGAGTCAGTTAGGGGCCCTTACTGGCAAGCAATAGGAACCCAGTCTGGTTAATAGACAAGGGTCTCAGAAACCAAGAGACCACTGAGAAGTACCCTAAAGCAGAGAGACCAAGCCATCTCTGAGATCCAGAGGGGAAGCACTCACAATTTCACCAAGTGGGATGGGTTTTCTTCAATTACATTACCACTCCTTTACAGATTCCAAGTACTGAGAGGGAATTCCATTTGGTTTGTCACATGCACATTTATTGCTAGAGGAATTAAGGAAATTGGGACTTCTGTTTCCTGATCATGTGCACCCTGGGAGGCAGCAGATAATGGCTCAAGTTCTTGGGTTGCTGCCTGCCCTGTGGGAGACCTGAATAGAGTTCCTGGCTCCTGGCTTCAGCCTGGCCAAGCCCCAGGTGCTGCTAGAAGGTGAGAAAGTAAGCCAGCAGAGAAAAGCTCTCTCTCTCTCTCTGTGCCTTTCAAAAATAAATAATAAATAATAATAATAAATAAAAATAAATAAATAAACAAGGTAAGAGAGAATAGAGAACATTCCACTGGACAATGCCCACCTCTGGGAGAAGGCAGACTTGAAAGGAAATGAAAAAATGCATGCTAACATGCAGGAGGATAATCAGCAGACGGGTTTCCAAATCTGGACAAAGCACCAGGGTTAAATGCTGCCAGAGGGAAACTTGTGGAGATGGAACTGGAAGTTACTGACAGCATCTTAAAGTGAAGGGGAACTGTGGAAACAGAGGGAACAGGGCAGGAGGACCCAGTGAGAGAAGTAAGAGGAGGATTAAAGGGACCTGACAGAAGCATGGAGGAAAACCCCTGCTGGAAGGGAAGGAAGGACTGGTGTCAAGTTGCTGATTGATGGAGTCAGTACCACAATGATTCTTGATCTGGGTGCTCCATCCTCTTTGGTCAAGTTTAAGTAGAAAATAACACTTAGGAATGTTCAGCATTTGAGGATTTCCTTTCTCTGAAGCGCTTGGTAAAGTCATGACAATAGAAAAATACAAATTGATGCTCGGGTTTAATCTGCTTCAGAAGCTACTGCAAGAGGAAATTGGATTTATTTGAGAGTCAACTTTAAAAGGAAATAAAAAGACAAATGTCTCTTATAAGCTAAAAAGCTGCAAGCCAATACAACAGTCCCAGAAACTAATTGTATAAGTGAGCTGTTACAACAGTTCTTTCCTTTCCCCTGGTTAAAATAATCTTACAAAACAATTTCACATCTATAATGCTGTGTGAAAAAAAAAAAAAAACTTGCACTATAATGTCTCTCAAGGAGGGGTTAGAAAGAAAAGAAGCAATTCTCATTATCTTCTTATCTTAATATCCGTCATCTTCCAGACAAAACACCATCATCCAACTGGGTCAGGACAGTTTTTACTTAAATACAAGGTCATACTGTTCGGGTGCACAGTGGAGCAGTGGAGGTAGAATGGGGGATTTTCATTGATTCTGAGGCTCTCAACACTGGAGCCCTTCCAAGGGAGGAAACAAGACTAAATAGATCATTTGTTTTATTCTGTTTGGGCATTTCTTGCATTTCTCCCAACGGCGGCTTATGGACACAAAAGCCAAACTCAGATTCTAGCTTGAGCTGGCTCAACTCCAGGTCACTTTTTTTTTTTCTTAAGGGATAAACAATTTGAAACTCTAACTGAAGATTAAGGCAAGCCGCACAATTGAAGGACAAGTGGAATTCTGCTCTGAATGTGAAGTTTCAACGAGTCAGGTAGGAGAGTTAAATGATTTGTGTTTCTCAAAACCAACAAGGAAGAGCTAGGAGAGAAGAGGTGACTGGAAGCACATGTGTGAGAAACACATTTCACAGAGTCATATACTGGTGCAGGGACTTGTCCCTGGGTACCAACTGACACAGGAACACTGCTTCTCTGGGACAGCTCCTTAGAGATGGGAGCCCAGGGGCCTGACCGCTTAGCTGTCATGGAAAGTGTAGCATGGGTTATTGCATCTGCTTTCTCTGGTCAGCGTCCGAAGGCCAGCAACAGCAGCTCTGCACTCTAACAAGCATAGTTGGTATTCCCAGCAAACGCTGCCAGCAGAATGGCTCTTTGTTTGCAATCTCTTTCCTTTTGGAGACACTCATCATTGGTCCCATCCAATGACCAAGGAGGCAGAAAGGAACACTAGCATCGGGGCTAAGCTTGGCATATTAGTTAACACTGTTTCCTGGCTAATTCCAGAATTGACAAGTCATGTGCAGGATCGCTCAAAACGTTCCTTAGACTGGACATGATGCAACAAGGAAGTGGATGTCATTAAAGGTAGAATGTCATTAAAAGGTGACTCCCACAGACTTCCGGATGTCTCCTGTAGTGTAGAATCAGGACTCTATTCATATTCTAATCAGAAAAATAAAGTTGTTCTTTTAAAAAATATTGGCTCCTTCAAAATGAAACACTGAAACTCTTTTTAAGCAATGTTTATGTATTTCTTTCACAAACGGGTTTAACTTTTAAATAACTTTACCAAGAATTTTTAAATTATCACGAACTTACCCAGAGTGTTTGAAATCTGAACCAATGTACCGATACATTTGTACAACAGCTTTATAAAACATCACCATTGAGGAAAATTGAGCAACGTAGACAAGGGACCTCTCTGTTATTTCCTAGCATGTGAATTCATAATTATCTCAATTTAAAGTTTCAATATGAAAAAGGAAGGAGATAGAAACAGATGCAGGGAACCAGGCAAGCCTCCACTCTGTGGCTTCATCATCCTAGTTGCCTTCTTCAGTATCTTCGGTCCATAACTCCCGTTATCTAAAAGAGGCGACTCTCAGTGTCTGAAACAGACAGAACCATTTTTGGACTTTGTCATCTTCATTTCCTCCCCCTGCCAACCCCATTTCTCTTTCCCTCACCCAACCAAGTCACAGGCCCACTACAGTCATTCATTCACCTGCTAGTCAACAACTATTGACTGAGCAACTGCTATTGCCCGGTTCTGGGGTTCTGGGGCCTGAGGCTAGGATGAGTCTGAATCGGGTTGTGTTGAATTGGCTCACTCCTGTTCTCTCTGGGAGTACATTCTGGAAGCAAGTTAGCAAAAGACAAGTAAACAAATTAGATCATGAGGCCTCTAGCAGCAGGTGAGACAGGGAACCCTTGCTAACCAGTCCGTGGCCTCAAGCATTGCTGTGGGACTCCTGGGATGCTCCTAAGGCCAAATGATCTCAAGCAGAGAGCATAATGAAGAGGGACTTGCCCGCTGCCCAGGATGTTACACCTGACTGCTGCAGACAGGTATGCTGTTTCTACCCTGCGCTTTCTTCTTACTGAGGACCAAATCCCTCATAGAATGCTTCTCTGTCATCTGGTATCTGGTTAGATTGCCTCACTGAATCGTACCATGAAGCTGACAGCACACCCTTCTCTCACATGGTATGTGTGATACTGTCATAAACCCTTCACTTTGTAATATTAATAGTGATTTCAAGGACTCTTAAAAAAAAAACTTCGTTTTAAATCTTTGTCAAGAAATGGATAGGAACTATACATGGCATCTAGTGTCAACGATGCTTTGACTATTTCAAAATGGCTGCGAGTGAAGTTGAACATCTTCTCCTTTGATAATTGTTTATAACCCTGGCTTATTATCCTGTTGGACTATGTTTTTTTGTTGTTGCTATTCTTTTTATTAGTAGTAGTATTATTTATTTATTCACTCAACTGTATTTAGTGGAGCAATTAAGCCTTTTGCCATCATGTAAATGCAAATTGTTATTCGGAAACAATCTAAAAACTACATTTAAAAAGAAAGAGACACAGACTGGCTGTATTCAGATCTCACACTTGCCTACGGCACCCTTCCCCAACACGCAGGTCCAGGCTGTGTAGCCGGGCCGTCCACGTGCCAAAGGAGGATGGCAGACAGACCTTCCAAGGCACTCCAACCGGTGGATGCAACTTCAACCCTGGAGCCTCGTTCAAGGAGATGGACTGCGTTTTTTTGTTTGTTTTTCTCCCGGTTGGGGCCCTACGTCTCCTACTGAGGGTTCTGGAAAGAAAGACACTTCTCATTCAAGTTGGCTTCCTGCAAACGGAGGATGGTCTGGATAGGGGAGCTCCCGGCCACAGGGCCGGCAGCCGGACAGGAACTTGCTCTGGCCTATGGGGTCTGCGCCTCAGGGTCTCATCGGCTCGAGCTACCAGTTGAGAAGGGCTGGAATCCTGAAACTCGAGGGAGACTGAAGGCTGTCTCCGCAGCCAGGAATCCAGGCTCTCGGTGGGGTCCCCTTGTCGGCCACGTGCCAGAAGCGCTCTGCCGCCTCCCTTCCGTCCCGAGGCGGATAGAAGTCGGCTCCAGGGCGCTCTGCAGAACGCCTCGAGGGCTGACTGATCCCTTCCCGACCGCGCCCTGGTACCTTTAGCCCCATCCCTGGACCACAGGGAACCGTTCCAGGGCGCCCCTCTGTGTCTCCCAGGGGACAGCCAAGCCGCGCGCCCTGCCGGTCTCAGGGACGCGCCATCCGCACACCCCACGCGCCGTTCCGCCGGGGCTGGCGCCGCATCTCGGTGTCGGCTGCATCTTCTTGGCCGCGCCCGGACGCAGCCCCACGACGGAGACCCCTGGCGCGGGGGGTGCTGGAGAAGAGGGGCCCTGCATCCGGGAGGCCCGGGGCGGAGTGGGGAAGGGGGGTCGCCCCGGCATCCCGGCACCGGGGACGCGGAGGCCCGCCGGGCACACAAAGGAGGCGGCGGGAAGGCGGGGCGGGGCGGGCCGGGGCGGGGGCGGCAGGAAGGGGCGGGGGCCGCGGGCGGCGGCGGCGATAAAGCCCCTGCCGCCGCGGCCGGCCAGCTGCGATCGGGGCTGCTCGGGGCTGCGCGGCTCCTGCAGGCTCCTCCGCCGCCTCCTGCCTTCGCCGCCGGCGTCCCGGACTCCCCCGCCCCGCCGAGCGCGGTCTGGCTCCTGCAGCGGCCACTCTGCCCTTCGCGGCAGCCACCTGGGGATCCGAGCAAGCGGTGAGTGTCCCCCTGAGAGCGCGGAGGGCGCGGCCGGAGCTGCCCCGGTGCAGGACACGGGGCTCCCGGGCTCGGCGCGCCGCCGGCCTCCGCTCCGCGACCTTGCACCCCGGCCCGAGGCTGCTGGAGAGCGGCGCGTGGGGGGTGCCGACGTCGGGCCGGAGGCAACTTTCTCTGTCTTCCTCAGGCTGCTTCGGCCGAGGCTGAGTGAACGCCGGGTTCCCCCGTCCCGCTCGCTGGGGTCCCCGAGTAAGATCCAGGCAGGGCGGACAGCAGCAGAACCTACTGTGGCGACCAGGTGCGCCCGCCTCGGGGAGCCGGGAGCGGGTGGAGAGACCCCGCGCTGGACGAGTCTGTCCGACCCTTCCCAGCCGGCGCCCGTGACCCTGAACCTGGCCAGGTCGCCCGCGCGTCCCCTGCCCGGGACTTTGCGCGCCGCCTGCTTAGGGACAGACAAACGGACTTTCACTTGTTACGTCCTGCTGGGCGATGCGGAGGGATGGGTGGTTTACACTGGCTTCTGCAAACCATGCAGCCCTTGCCAGCACATCCTGGCAATTTCCACCATCCCTAGCAATACGGCAGGTAAGGTGAAAGGACTCCGGAATTCTGAGCGGAATTCAGTGTTAAATTTGCCCCCGAGCTGAGCCGAGCCAGACAGCTTCTCTTACATAAGACAGCGCTGCAGCTTCAGGTGTAATGGAAGATGCCAGCGGGGGGCTCGCGTTTTTTAATGAACAAACCGTAGCTTTTCTATTGGCCTTGACTGTTTTCCAGACGGGCGTTCTTAGATTTAGCACCCGCATAAAAAGGTGTTGGGAGGTCTGACTTCCTCTTCCAAGCCAGGAAGTAGTCTACTTCTCTGAACTGTTTTGGAACAATTTATCTGATGATCGTTCTGTACGGTGGAGATTTTATACCACAAGTTGAGCACAGATAATTGCAAGAAATGTCAGTTGGCTCATTTGAATATCCAAGGCACTCTTCAAGCAGGGACAGTACTTGCCGGAGCATAGATTGAAATCAGTCATTATGTGCAGTTTGGAGTATTTCAGTAGATGAAGATGTTCGCCTAGATAAAAAGTCTCCCCAAGTTTCGATTCTTTATTCATATATTGTTGGAAAATGCTGCACAGTGCACAGCGATTACTGAAGGTCAGGAAGCTACCATCGTTTTTCCTTCCAAATAAACAGTGAATGGAGGTAGAAAACTTATGTCTGCCACAAATAATGTTCATTTCTGGGAAGTTAAATGCCAGTTGGAGGTTGTTTGATGTGGGAGAGCCTGGAATGAAGTGGTGACCAGATTCTGTCCCAACCACACCTCTCTGTTCTCTGTGGCCGTCCCCTTCCAGCTGGCTCTCATGGCTCATTATCCTGGCCACAGTCGCTGTGACCGATGCCCTCAACTCACTCCCTTCACCGCTTCCAATCTGGTGACCTCTACCCTCTCCTGCTAGTAAGTCATCCAACTCAATTGAGTTTTCACCTCTCTGGGATTGCTCGACTTCCTTCCAGGTTGCAAACTTAACCTTGTCTGTCCCTGCATCCTCACCTCACTGCTAGAGACCACATCTACCCAGGACACTTCCTAGTCTCCCCTAACTTCTCAGCCTTCTGCGATGTGGGCAAAGCAGAAGACCCCATGATTTCCTGAACAGGGGATATGTGGATAATCACAGATCCCACCTATGACCTTTGAGAGGCTCATTCGTTCCTTTCTGATGCAATTTTGCTACATAGTTGGCATCTGTTGCTCTTTCTCCTGCCTTCCTGATGTCTTCTGAAGTCATTCAGGGTTCTGTCCTTACCCCTGTCCTCTATGTGGAGTTCCTGATCAGCCATGTTCCCTAGTATGAAGTGAGTCCCAGGTGGTTGTCCCAGCCAAGAGCTGTGTTCTCCCCTACAAGTCAAGTGGGGCTGTGCCATGGCCATTGTAGAAGACTGCCACAGCAAGCAATGGAAGTTTCTTATATTCACCCCCAAATGTGCTTCATCCATAAACAAGCTGTGCTCCTGTTTTGTTCTGTTTTGAAATGTCCCTGCAGGACCCGCCAGTAGCACTGCACTCCTGCTCTCAACCTTTAGCCAGGCACTTTCTTACTCTGTGCTGTGGGAGTCCCACCAACCTCTAATTCTACCTGCACAAGCCCTGTCTTGCTTTAGCATCCAGAAATGGCAAAATAATAGCCAAGGCAACCGCTTCCAGCTGGCAAGAGTGCTGTTGGTTTGAACAAAATACACAAACATTGAGTTATTTAGAAATGCAGATACGCTGTGTGCATCCATAGCTTTTCTTCAAAGGCAGGAGGCCGGGGATTGGAGGCTTACATTCCAAGGTGGCAACACTGAGCTGGTGCCAAGTTTCCAGAGCTCGTCTATACTGGAGGTTGCTGGCTTCTGGGTTCCCCCTGGCCCCATGGCCTCGCAGACAGTAACTTTCTAGCCCCTTCCCTTTGTTCTGGCTCCCTGGGCCTCTGAGGCAGTGACCCCAGGCTGAGACAGCCGTGGTGGGCCTGGGAATCCCAGGTTCTTCCTGCATAGTTGTCTACTCCTGCCTTTGCAGCTCTTCTGTCTTCCTTACCATTCCTGGTATTACTTTCCTTCAGCTTCCCAAACCCATGTCCCTCCTGATAAATAGTCATTGCTTCCCTCTTGATATGAAGGAGCAATTACATTGGATAGTAGGCTTGATATCTCAAATCACAAGATGACGTCTCCATTGCCAATATACAGGGCTGTATGTAAGGGTCTCAAATCCTTTTGCATTTGTGATTACTGAATTTATAGCAACCACTCCTGGACAGAGATGGCAACCTCTCATGTTCACCATCCACCCTCCTCCTACCCTGCAGACAGATAGCCCAGGATGAACCCACATTCCAAGTAGTAGTGGGGAGACTAAATGTGGAGGCCCTGGCCATCCCAGGAGCCCTCAGCACTTGAGACTTGATGTACCTCATTCAACACCTGGGACCCAGAAACTTACAGAGTATCCCCAAAGTTACTCAGCTGCCTTGGAAGAGATCCTTGGTGGACTTTCACCCAACACTCTGCCCGGGAACTTCTCTGGCTGCTGACTTACTTGCAGTAACCTACAGAGCCTAAGCTTTCTTCAACCCTTTTCCTCTTCCTGGCTTTGTCCCTCTTGGAATATTATTTCCTTACAAAACTCAGCTTTCTGTAGATGCTGAATATACCCTGTGATGTATCATGATTCCTTGTCATTGGTCAGCCATTCCTTTACATGGAATTCCCTTTCTCCTTCTACTGTGTTTGTTGTCTGCCTGGTTCCCCCCTTTTCAAGGCTCAGGTCTAGTATCAGCTCCACCAAATAATCCTTCCTGGCAGTTGTTTACCCTGACCTTTAATGGCAGACATGCAGTGTGTACATACACACCCCACACAGAGCACAACTCTAGCATGGCATTTGTTGTATCTAAATTGACAATGTACTATGTGACTCCAGGTGACAGGTGTGAGACAGGGCCCACCAGCACACTGTTCTTTACCCACTAGGCTGTAAGCTTTGTGAACACATGCCTTTGTTTGTGGCTTCATACACACAATAGTGTGTTACCCAAAGGCATGTGATAGTGTCTGAACTAATCCATATTCATACGACTTACTGGATGTCTTATGGAAGAGTGCTTGTTTTTCAGGGTTAAAGGGGAGCTCTTGTTTTGATACTTCTGAATTTAATATGTTTCTTCATACTCTTGAAATTTTTGATCAACTATCTGCTGTTTTTTTTTTTTAAGGAAAAAAAAGCTATTCCCATAGTTACTGTTGCAGTAAGGATTTATTATTTCAGAGAGCTACAGAGATAGAGAAAAATCCTTTGTCACTGGTTCACTCCTCATATGGCTATAATGGCCAGGGCTGGGTCAGGCCAAAGGCAGGAGCCCAGAACTCCATCCAGGTGTCCCATGTGTGTGTCAAGGCCATCTTCTGCTGCTTTGCGCAGACACCTCAGCAGGGAACTGGACTAGAAATGGAGCAGCCAGAACTCAAAGCAACATTCTTCTGGGATGCTGGCGTCGCAGACAGATCACCGCGTTGGTCATCAAGTACATCTTTTGAGATAGAACATCACTTAGAGAAGAAAGCAGATTTTGCACACAGAAGTGCTTCTGGGCCTGTGCTCCCTCCGGTTATCCTCATCTGAACCCTTGGCCAGCTCAGTCCTTCCTGGAGCTTCACTGATTCCCCTGCCCTTCATGGTTTGTACAGGTAGAAGTTGTTTGAGCTTAGTTCTAATTACCTTGTTAACGGTGATGTGTGGCTTCTTAGTGACCCCTTCCTGCCAACCCCACGGATGCTTTTTTCAACCAAGTTTGGCAGAACAAGCCCTGTGGGCTGGCAGAAGGGATTTTACCATTGACAATCTGTGTAGTTGGCCATTAAAAGTCAGCTTCCACGTCCATATCATTAGCTCATTAAACTAACTGGTTTCAGATATATCTTTTATTTTGATTCTGCCATTTCTTGTTTCAATTTTTTGTATAATGTGGTTTTCTCACAAAGATCAAACTTTAGCTGAAATCTTTTCTTAGATGTGTTTTATTTCTGTGCCTGTGTACTATGAAGTTCTTTCTCTGTCTTTTTAAAGCCTATGAAATTCTTCAGCTTTAGTACTGAGGACTGGCATTGCTGGCCCAGATGACAACTTAGCTTGTGTTCCCATATGCAAGCACTTATTAAAATGTTAAGTACGTGGGGTCCTGTGTACTTGGATCTTTGTTCTAAACCAGCTCTCCATGTATACATGTTTGTCTTCTCTTTGCAAGCCATCTTTGCACATGAACAATGGCACACCTGATAGGAAAATAAATATTAAATGTTTACAAACATACTCTTACAAAGACATATTGAAGCCAAATGCAGTAAATTACATCTGCATTTGACTTATCTGTAAATTCCTGGTTTGTTTAGGAATGTGACAAGCTTGGTATGACTTTGCTTCCTGTTTGAGAAACACCATCTTCCATTGCACAGGC